ACACGGGCAGGGATCCTGAACTCTGGCCTGCGGGGACGAGCTCAGCCTAGCTGAGTTCTGTAAAACAGGGGGGCTGCCTGAGCAGTAAAACGTTGCTCTGCCTGAGCTAGCCCCTGCCGCCATCCTCACGTAGAATTCTCTGGAGGGTAGTTTTAAAAATTGAAAGTGAGCGGAGGGCTTTGGCAGCTAGAGCGGAGGACGCTGAGGCCATCTTCCCAGGTCTGCCACTGATTCAGTTAAGCTCTCCTGGCTCTATTCGTCCCAGGGGTGACTCTGAAGTCAGTGGAGTGACACCGGGGGCTCTATTCGTCCCAGGGGTGACTCTGAAGTCAGTGGAGTGACACCGGGGGCTCTATTCATCCCAGGGGTGACTCTGAAGTCAGTGGAGTGACACCGGGGGCTCTATTCGTCCCAGGGGTGACTCTGAAGTCAGTGGAGTGACACCGGGGGGAATTTAGTTCTCTGTGCCTCCGCCTGTCCTTCCGTAGTATAGCGATATAATACCTTCCGTGCAGGGGAGTTTAGAGGGTTAATTACTGTCTGTAAAGTGCTTTGAGATCCTCGGAAAGTGCACTGTGAGGGCAAGGACTGTAATTACAAATCCCCCCACTCCTTACAGAAGGTGCAAAAGTGAATGTGACCGTGTCTTCTCTGTGTTCATTTCCCAGAGTATGTTACATTTCTAGCCCTGCCTCACAAGACCACCCTCGTCTACGTTGCCAATCGCAAACCCCTCTTCACACATTTGGGTGAGTATAATGGGAAGGCTACCGGGCCGGTTTGATTCCTGTGCCCCCAAACACGCAGGGAGTCTAGAGAAAGGGCAGACTGGGGGAAGGGTCCTGGAAGTGCAGTCTCATCACTTGTAGGGTACTCTCTGTAGAGAAGCGGGGGAAGCTCCGTTGCTTGGGAGGTTTAAAATAGACTGGAGAGGTCACTAGTGGATGCATAGAAGGAAGCCATTGTCTCTAGTTGATTCTGTGAACACACAATACCCCTCTGCCCTGACTACCATTGATGCTTCTCTAGCTGTGAAGGTCCAAGGTCGGTATGTGGTGGCCGGGAGGGAGAGAATCTCCTTGAACACCACCTATCCGTCGGTAATAGAGGACAACCAGATCAAATACAGGGTGTTTCTCACCGAGGACAACCTGCCAAGCCTGGAGGAAGTCCATGTCGATGGGCCAACCCAAGAGGACATTGAGATACAGGTAGCTCGGTAGGGCTGGAAGGGGGATAGCCAGAACTGGCTTGGGGCTGCGTGGCTCAGGGCTAAGACCTACAAGGCAGAGTCTGATGGTGATTGAGGCTTTGCTGATTCTCCCACAGCAGCAGAAATTGAGCTCCATGCTGGTGATGGTTTCCTTATTCTTGGAGATGGTTGAGCACATGTTCCCTGTGTGTTTTCTGTAGACTTAGGTGAAGGCTGGATGGGGGAAGAAAGGAGAAAACAGCAGAATTCTGGCAGCAAATCTCCCTTGTGATGCAAGAGGTCGGTTCCCTTCCCAGGAACAAACCTGGTGGAATTACAAGGCTGTTTCTCTAATTAAGCAGTTCCCATCGTTCATTACCGAGGTTCATGCTCCAGTAGCAGACACACACATGTTGAGGCAAAGCCACCCAGAAGAGGGATGTCCCTATCAGGACGTGAATTCAGATTTGGATTTTGGTTTTTATGGCAGACTTAATCTGAGTTTGAATGATTGGAAGTGATAAATAGAGCCAGTGTTAACTTGAAATGTTTACAAAGAACATTGGCTTCATAGTGTCTATTCAGTGCCCAATGGATGGGTGTTCACAGCGTAAGTCCCCCCACTACAGCTTGCTCTACTTGCCTGTCTCAGCAGAGGCAAGAGGGCTGAACTGGCCAGAGAGACTCTACTGCCATCAGAGGCAGACCCTCTGAGTTGGGGGCGAGTGCTGGTGGGGAGCAGCAGTGGGAGAAAAGGTTGCATTGTCCCTGCCTGTGCTGTAACACACAGAGATTGTCACACTCCAGGGCTTTTGACCCAGCACCTTTCACGAGCACTCCATTAATTAGAGAGTATAATGAGAAGTGATAATCAGGATAACGAAGAGGCTGCAGACACTATGTTTCAGTTAATTTATAAATTCTGGAATTAAACAGGGAACAGTCAAAGATGCGGGAAGGAATTTAATACAGATGATGTTATTTTGTGTGTAAGGGACTTCTGAGTAGGGCAGCAAGAGTTGATTGCCTGTACCATATAGAAAGGAAGTGTCACAATTGGACCAGAGACTGTACTTGTGGCCAATGAGAAACCAGCACTGCCGCGATTCTATTCGTGGTACCTGATTGGTTGAGAAGTTCTTTTAAGGCCTTATGTCCTAACTCTGAACCATTTTTAGAATGCTGAGTTTAAAAACTTTTATTAGGGAGTACTAATAAACTCTCCAGCATGCTGATTGGCTGACAGAAATTCCATTGGCATTGGTACAACCAGGTGTTTATTAGAGGTGGGTATGAAAAGAAACCCCAGCTACTGGAGTGTTTGGAATCCACATCCAGATCTTGCACCCAGGTTCCATCTTTGCTATCCATGTGCTCAGACACACTCCTCTGACTTGATCTGGATACGCAACACCATACTGACCTGGGTTAAGCTCTAGATTTCTACACTCTTCTCCTTCCCAGGTTTATAGGAAGTATGGGAAAGAATATGGAGATGTCACCAACCCAGACATCACCTTCAGCTACTTTATACCAAAGGAGAAACAGACACATGTGTGGATTCCTCAGTTCAGGACCTGCTCGGTGAGCTGTGGGGAAGGTGAGGCAGATGTGAGAACCAATGGTTAATTGGGGAAGCTGCTCAGGCTTGGAGGTTGACTGGCTGCTATCCACCTAAGTCCTCAAACCTTCTGGACTCTACTTTGCTTATTGAAAGAAATACGCTCGGTATCGGTTTCATACATTTTATTAAAACTTATTAAACAAACTGAAATTTTAAAAAGTGGCCAGATCTAAGCTGTTATTACTAATATTAAATTAAACTAAGAATAAAGCAATACAGCTATCAAATCATGATCAAATCAACAAGCTAGATTCAACAATGGATTGGAATTAAATCCTCAAATGAATACTCAATATAACCAATCCTTATAAACGCCAAAGAGGATTCTAAGAAGGTGGCTGTGCATTTGGTTATAAACCCCAGCTAAAGAATTTGGTCAAAGTCCATCAAGTCTATGATTTAGAGCTAGTGAAGTGTCTTAATACTGAAACCAAATTATTACCTAATGTCTGATCTAGAACTGGATGAATTTTTATGCACAAAACTTTTTTTATTTCTGTTTTGGAACTGGGCTAACAGTTCAACAGCTTATCTTTTAGAACCTTCCTCTTGATCGCGAAAAAGTTTCTTTAAAATCTTTCAAGAAATAGAGTTTTAAAAGTTTATATAAGGGCTGAATTCCCATATTTGTTCTTTCTCTGACACATTTGGGGATTCACTTCTGTCTCATTGGACAAAGGGAGCTCACAGTTTCTTTCTGTAAGAGCAAAGACCAGCCCGTAAGTCAGCCTAGAATTTCCTTTCCCTTTTTCAGCTGGGGACCTCAGCAATGGCGGTTCTAATATTTTACTGAACTTTCATTCCCAGGGGTGCTACTGGTCGATCACTCCTGCTTTGACCAGACCAGGAATGAAATAACAGATGATCAGCAGTGCTTGGAAACGCCACAGCCCTCTTCCAGGCAGGAGCCCTGTGCCATGGCACCATGCCCACAAGGGTGAGTATTCCTGAATGGCCTTTTCCACCACTAAGCTAAAGTCTCTTATCACTAGAGATGGGCATAGCTGGCTCTTGTCCTTTCACAGCTGGGTGGCGGGGGACTTCGGCCCCTGCAGTGCCACATGTGGGGGTGGAGCGATGGAGCGGCTGGTTCGCTGTATGAAGAAAGAAGGGGGCTTGATCCTGACTCTTCCCGATTCCAAATGCACGGATGCTCCCAAACCTGCCTCCACCAAGGCATGCAGCACTGAGCCGTGTCCCATAAGGTAATTCAGAGGCCCCCTGAATGTGTGTGTGTGTGGGGGAATAAATCATTGACTCTTTCTCCCCTTGTTTTGTGTGACAGTCCTGTGGTCAGGGTGGGTTATTGCATGTTCTTCATTCCTGCGGGCTCCTTGTTCCTGCCTGGGCCACGTAACCGTTTCTGTTTCTATGCCCTTCACAGTGACTCCTGCGGGGGCAACAGCTCCTCAGGCTGGGAGTGTGGGGACTCAGCCATGAGGGGATGTTTGCCCTTCCTTTCCAATCACAGAGACCAAGTGTTCTCCCCAGCGGCACGGCTCTTAATCGGGAGAAGGTCTAAGTGTTGTCTAGGCTGGAGTAGGGGACTGGGAGCCAGAACGCCTGGGTTCTTTAATCAGCTCAGCCACTACTTGCTGTGCGACCTCTTGAACATATCACGTCACCCCTCTGTGACTCGGTTTCCCCATATGTGAAATGGGAGTCGTGAGGGTCAGCTGATTCATGTTTATAAAGTGCTTTGAGATCCTTGAGTGGTGCTATTATTTCCCATGTAGATGGAAGGAATCTGAGCTGGGCAAATGCTCTGCCATCTGTGGGGTTGGAGTCACCCAGCAGAACGTGACCTGTGTCCAGATTCTTGATGGACTGGAGACCACAGTAGACGACAGCCTGTGCCCGGCGGAAGAAAAACCTCTCGCTTTTGTGCCATGTGTGGTTAACATCTGTCCTCTAGGCTGGAACACAGTGAGTACGCTGGCCTGGCTAATGGGGAACCTCACACACTGGCCCGTGGAGGATCCCAGGCTGGGAAGGACCATTTTCTTGCTGGAGGTTGAGAGGGTGTTACGCACAGAGGACAGCTCATTAGTCCAGAGTCCCATGTAGTCGCTGCAGGAGCCTTGCTCACCTTAGACAATGCTGCTGGGTTCATCAGGCTTTGGTGGGGGTGATTTAATTCTGGGAGGGGCCGGCTAAACCCCTTGGGCATCATCCCACCCGCTTTCCTTCCCACGCAGCCATATTGCTCCAAGCAAAGCAGAGGCGGAAATGCTTTCGCATCTATCAGAGAGAGCCATCCCCTCATGAAATCACCTCCAGTAAAGAAACCCGTGGGGCCGTCTGTTAGAGGGAGCCTGGCATTCGCAAACAGACTGCAGAATGAAACTGGAAGATGGAGGGGGAGTTGATTGGCTCTGGGGATTGTTAATGGGGTGTAGAGACTGTCCCCTGCAGGTCACTGGTTCTAAGCCAGCCTGGGTGAGGCGTGACTGAAAGTGATGACTATCTAAGGTAGGTCAGCGATCTGGAGACAATGTGTGTCCATGTCAGAAACCCACCCGCACAGTGGGAACCAAGAGGTGCCCATGTAGGCAGTCTCAGCCAAGGGGCCAGAGACTTACTGGCCATGAAGTCTGGAGGGGCTCTCTCTCCACACGGCTCAGCCTTACTGGTGGGGCCCTGTGAGGGAAACGTCTCTTGAGTGTGCTGTGCTGCTACCACTGTGTGGGATAAACGCGGGGTTTGGCCTCCAGAGCTGTCGGGCGCCTTTCGCCAGCACTAAAATCTACAGGCCAGTGTCCCACTAAAATAGTTAAAAGGAAAATGCTCAAATCTGTCTCTCTTCAGTCACAGAGGGAGATTCTTGTGGGGGCTTAGATGCACAGCTTGCATCACTGAGGGGGAGTCCTGGGGGTCCAGCCTTGCATACCAGTTTGGAAACTGCCCCTGCTCCAGCAGAAGCCTGGGGAAGTGTCTGTGAGAGAGATCACAGGTGCTGTGGGCATGGTCCAGAGCCCTCTGACACGAATGAAAAGGCTCCCCTGGTTCCAATGGGCTTGACTCAGGCCCTGGGCGAGCAGCAGCTGCCAGTCACTTGTTTTTTGCTGCTCTGTTGGAAGCAGGACAATTCGCCCTCACGGGAAGAGCTGGTGCCATTTGGGAGTATCCAGAAGGAAAATCACTCGGTGCATGTCTGGAGCCCTCTCGTTGGCGAATGCACCGTGACCTGTGGCGGAGGTGAGATGCTTGTGACGCTGCACGGAAACATTCTTTGTTCTGGGGATGAGCTCGGCTGCCTTGTGCATTCGTGCAATTAACCTTTCACCACTGAGGAGTGGGGTGCGTGTGTGGCTGTGCTCACAAGTACACAGAGTCTGGAAGAGTTAGGGGCGCATGGCTTGGGGCTTGGAGCGAGGATGCAGAACCTTCCCCTGTAACGTTCCTGGTTTGAATCCAGGGTAGGCTGGTACTAATAGAAGGTTCCGGGAGCTTGGGCAGAGCTTGCTTGATCTATAAACAGCACTGAGCTCCAGCGTGAGGCTGCTGCTATCAGAAATGATCTTGTTTCAACACTCGCATCCATGCCATGCTATCAGACTGTCTCCCCTTCCCGTCTAGGTGTGGCCCAGCTTCGTTATGTCTGTGTGGCTTTCGAGACCAAAGAAGAAACCCAAGAGAAACATTGTAATCAAGTGCCAAAGCCAGCGAGCAGGCTGGAAAGCTGCAATCCCATGCTGTGCCCTCCAAGGTACGAGACAGGTCTCTTTTCACTGTCAGCCTCCAGGGATGGGGTCAGCTGTTTCCCGCCAGGGAAGTGTTGTGTGGGTCCTGGTACAGATGTTCTCTCCATTCTTGTCCCCGCCCAGTTGGGAGGTGAAGGAGCTGGCTGCATGCCCAGTGAGCTGTGGAGGAGGGAGAATACCACTCTCTCTTCGCTGTGTAAGACAAGAAGGAAATACAACCCGTCCTCTTCCTCATTCCAAATGTGGTAGGATGCCCAGGCCAGACAGCACCAAGGAGTGCGGTACTGATCCATGCCCAGCAAGGTAACTGCTAGTCGCTTTAGGGCCTGGGTATAACTGAGTGAAGCCCTTGCATGCTTATGTGCCATGGGAAACCTTAGCCCAATACCCCTGATACTTCACTACCTTGGAGTGGGGAGGAGCCCCGTTGTAACAAATCTGGGGTTGTAAAGGTGGACACCACAGTTACCACCTAAATTGTGCTTAGACATTCCAGTACCCCAGGCATCTACCATGTGAACTAAAGGACAATCAGCTGTAGCCTTAAATAGGGCTGACAGCCTCTGCAGGCAAATCTCCCAAATAAGCCCATTAAGAAAATCTTTGGATCTAGTTCTCTGGAGGTTGGACCCCAAATCCACCTTAGTTCACTGATGGCCGGGGGATGGCTCGCTGAGGGTTGGAGTCGCTCATTGATGGCTGCGTTGTTCCCAGGTGGCATTACAAAATGGACTCGTGCAGCGCTAGCTGCGGAGGAGGTGTGCTGCGCAGGGTCCTGTACTGTGCGAGGGAGACCGGGGACAAGGTGGAAGAGATTGTAGCAGATGCACAGTGTCATGGTTTGCCTCGCCCAGAGGAGCAGGAGCTGTGTAATCTGGAGCCGTGCCCTCCAAGGTCATTGTAATCACACTCACCAAGACCGCGTGTGCCTGGGGAGAGTGTGTGTCTTTAAAAGTGCCATGGACTCAACCCAGTGTGGTCGGGGAGCCAGGTTACAGAGGGGACCTCTGGATTGTCACTCTCTAGAAGCTGGAGACAAAGTGCTTTTGTGCTCTAGAGGAAGGGTGCTCACTGCCCAGTCACTTCTGACCCCGTAACTTCAGGACGGAGATGCACAGCAGGGTGGTAGTGGAAGCATGTTCAGCACAGGCTGGCGAGGAGGGTGTGTGGCTTCTAGTATCTGTCTTTGTTTTTGATGCTGCAGGAGGCTGTTTACTGGGCTGAAATAACACAAGAGTTGGTCTGTTCAGGATATGTCAGTTCCAGGGGGGTGGAAATATCACGAGAAGACCAGGTCTTGACTCATTTCAGCCTGTACATGTCTCCCTGAGGGGAGTGGGGAAAGGGCTTGTGATGCAGGTACTGTGAACACCCATGCAAATATTGAGCTCATAGGGTTTCGGCAAAACCCGAAGATGCTGCTCTACAGCTTTCAGAGGACCCACTTCCACATCATCCCAGATATTCTAACCTCGCCACAGGGCCGGGCTCTGTTCCAGATGTGGATTGGAGCCACAGTCAGTTGGGATGATCCCATGCAGTGTGCATGTGGCTGAGGAAGGGAGTCTGTGGATGACTGGGAAAGTGGGAAGATGAGGAAGTCTCAGGGTGTGCTTTTTAGCAGGGGCTGGTGGGAGGAGGGGAATCAGTCCTCACTGAATTTTCTCCTTCCCCTTGGATCAGATGGAAAGTAGCAGCGACTGGTTCGTGTTCCTCTTCTTGTGGGCTCGGCTTAGCCACACAATTGATTACCTGCGTGCAGCTCCGCCAAGGCCTAGAGACCGAGCTGGAAGAGAGTTCGTGTCCGGAGGCCGAGAAACCCCTCCCCAGCATCCCCTGTTTCATCAGAATGTGCTCCTATGAGTGGGGTTTCAGCGAATGGACAGAGGTACCTGCTACCCTTCTAACGCAGCGCTAGGTGCAGGAGCTGTGCAGCGCTCTGGCTTCATAGCAAATGCCAGGACTACTGTTATAGGAGAAATAACTCCTCTCTCGCACACTGCATGGTGTTAGCATCCATCAAAATACCAAACTGTTCCTAGGGATGTCATCCATCTTGCCTTCCTCTCTCCCTCCCTGAGCAGGGTATCTGTGCAGCCCCCACGTTGCTAGACTTCTGGTCTTTGGCTGCTGTTTAAAAATTGCCGTTGCATGTTTTGGGGCGATGTGCTCCATGCAAATCTTTTCTGAACTTTGGTCAAACACTTCCCCTGTCAGACACCCACCTAATCACTATTGTGCACAAGTATTGATACATCTGTGGGTCTCAGGGTCCTTCGGTAAGGTGGCTCAGCACTTTAATCTCCATTTCACAGCTGGGGATACTCAAGGACGTAAAGGTTAAATGCATTGGCCAATATCAGTGGAACAGCTGAGACTATAACCCAGGTCTCCCTACTCCCTGAAATGCACTTTAGCCATTGAACCTCCTTCCCCCTGCATAGAACCCTGACTGTGGATTTATAAAGGCCTCTGGGTTTCTTCCGCTGCAGTGCTCAGCGTCGTGTGGGAACGGCATTCAGATGCGGCAGGATTTTTGCCTCAATCCGAAAACCCACGAGCACGTGAACCCCGTCTTCTGCATGCGCTCCCCCAAGCCTATCACGGTGCGTGGCTGCTCTGCCAGCCCCTGTCCTGAGCAGCCTGCGGTGGATGGGTACTTGGGAACAGAACACCAGATACCAACTTCAGCTACGAACCCGATAACGACAGCAGCCACCATTTATCCCGAGAGGCCGGAATACGAAGCCCTGGATCGTCTTCCAACCAGGGTGCTGGCTCCTTCACCCAAACGCCCCGAGGAGCTTTCAGCGGGGGAGGAGGACACTGATGAAGTGTACAGTTAGGTGGTGATTACATAGGGTGATGTCCTTAGCCAGTACTGCAGCCAGGAGTCTGAGAGTCCTCCCGCACTTAGGCAGTACTTTGACAGGGAGCATGGGAGCACTGCAGTACTGCAGTAGGAAATTTGTCTGGGTCAAGACTTCAGATTCCAGGCTCATGATCATTGAAAATCAAATGAAATTCATTGCAGAGCCTAGTTCCGGCCCACAGCAAGCTCAGATCCAGGGCAGCTCCCTCTCAGCTCAGGAGGGTGAAAGCCCCAAGCGGGTACAGCACATTGGTATGGCTAGTGACGGGCAAGTTCTGCTCAGAGTTCACCTGTTCTGCTTTGCTGTGAAGAGCATCTCGCTAGGAGCTGCATGGAACATTCATAGCACAAGCCAGAAGCCCCCGGTACGCACCTTGATTCGGGTTTGCTGCAGACTGAAAAGTCGGAGCGGATTCACTGAAAGTCTTGCTGTGGGTCACGCCTTCCAGGCGTCATGGGCCACCCATCAGAAGGGAGTTACGAGCAACAGCTCTCTTCCCAGGGCCTCCTGCATTCTTTGAACTGCAAGCACCTCAGGGCTGTGTGTCTTGTACAGAGGTCAAGCACACTGTTGGCACGTGTTCAGGAGCAGTGATCGCAGTCTCTGCTCCAAGGAGCTTGCAGACAGTACGGTGCACATGCCACGATGTATAGGGAGCGGTGTCAGTGGGCGTACGTTCCTCCTGCTGCAAGTACTCATCCGTGGTGTCTGTGCTTTTGGTTTTATTGCGCAGGTGTCTGTGGGAGGCTCTTCCTCAACTCCACCGGGGTCATCAACATGACCGGCCTGCAGGTCAGTGACTGCACGGTTTCCATCGGACGCCCCTTGGGGGAAGTGGTAACAGTCCAGGTGCTGGAGAGCTCCCTAAACTGCAGTGCAGGTACGTTTCAGAGCCAGCAGAGCTCATTCCTGGCAGGGGACTTCCAGAACCCTGCGTCTGCCTCCTCCTTGATACTTCTATGTACACGTTTGCTGGGAGTCCTGCACATCCATTGTTGGGGACAGGCACCAAGGTGTTCTCAGTAGAGGGTCTCCAGCTATGGACCAGCCCAAGTGCGTTAGCCCCTGAAACACTACGCAAGGTTTATCTTTTCGGTCAAGTCTTTACCAGGTGGGACTAAATTAAGCCATTGCCTTTTCTTTCCCAATTTTTTCTGATTTCTTCCTTGACTGGTGATAGGTATGTGCATGGTGGGGTAGGGTGGGGGTGAAAATTACTTCCCATTTTGGTCTGTTATAAAGTGATGCTTTTCATGTGTGATGGGCCCAGATGCTGCAATGATGGGGTCTGTGCAGGCTAATAAAATAAATCAAATCACTTTCATGGCTGACATTGACCAGCTAAGGGTTAGATGTAAGAAATACGGGTTGGAATTCCATGGCCTGTCTGACACAGGAAGTCAGACCAGATGATTATAACAGCCCCTTTCAGCCTTAAAAACGAAGGACGGATGTGTATTCTGAGCTTCTCATGATATAAGTGTAAGTTCCACCTGGGGCTTCTCATTGAATCATGGGTCTTATGCTCCCAAGTGCAGTTCATTTACTGCCTGGAACCAGAACACATCAAATATTCTGTCATTCCAGATAACTACCTACTGGGAAATACTATAAAAGTTTTTCAAAATAAAGCACACAGATATATAGAAATGTTTAAGTCCAACCCAATAGCTCTTATGTAGAACAGTCTTACATACTTTACAAGCAGTGTCTTAGACAGTGAATTACTAGGTTTGGCAACGAGTCATTTACCCACTAAACATCTGCTTCTGTTTTTAAGTTTTCTTCTCCTGATCAAGAATCCTCCCATCCTGAATTGATCTCTTTGTTCTTGTTTATCTTGCGTTACACAAATGTTCAGGGCAGAGACCACATCATATTTATATTTGTAAAGCCCCGGATAACTTGTGGTGCTACTTAAATGTTTTTAACTATCTTAATAAAGTGCGTCGTGTATTAGTGTTAATGTAGAAATGACCGCAGGGCCATGATGGAGCACAGCCCTTGGTGATGGTGACTCCATCTTTGAGATGAGACATGAAATCAAGGTCCTGGCCACTGGTGGTCATTAAAGAGTTCACGGCACCTTTTTAGCAAGGTATTAGCGACAGCCTCCTTGCCAGATTCCAGTGTGCCCAATTATAATCTTGCTCCTTAAAATATCCTTGTGGTTTCATTTAGATACCTGATTCTTCTCCACTTCTTTTCTTGAACTGTTACATAGCGCTGTTGTGTGCTGTTAAACAGCTGCTGTGTTCCATGCCAGAGGTGCTGCATTTCATTGATGGGTGAAGTGATCATTACCTTAGTCTCTAAAGCAATTTCTTAGAGCTGTAAAGTATACACCTGTCTGTTGTATCCGACTGTGCCGTCACGACAGCGTGTGTGTTCTCGTGGAGGTGTATATGAGGCGCAAGATTGCAAACAGATGTCACATGGGAATGTGCAAGCTCTTGCTGAGGACTTGGCATGATGCTTGGCCCTTTTTCCAGTCCGTTTTTTGCATCTGTCGTCCTCAAAGGGTTTACATCTTTGATTGACAGTTGCTATCCATTCACGTCTGTCCTTGGCTGTGTCTTCAAAGTTATCACCTTTTATGCCGCAGAAAGTGAGATGCTGCTTAAGGGAAGCGTTTTCATTGACCACCCTTCCTGCGATCATTGCCTCGACGCTGGTTGTTTTTGCTTTTTCACAGATGTTAACCTTTGAGACGTTCTCTGTAAAGTCCTTTGCGGTAAAAGGGTCCTTTATCACTATTTCATTTTATTACAGGGGAGATTGTGCTGTTTTCTGGACGGACGATGTGGCGGACAGGCTGTAAGAAGCTGATGGTGTCATCCGTAAACTCCAGGACCAACACATTGATGGTGAGACAGCGCCTCCTGCTGCCAGGGAATGGTGTTGTTCTTCAGTACAACAGCAAAGCAGCTGCAAAAAAATATTATCAAGGTACTTTGCTGAACTCTTCACTGTGGCTTTAGGGCCGGGGCAGGGAAAGCAAGGCCCACTGAGTTTCACTGTGCAGTTCATGGCTGCCCATGGAGACCAAAGGGCCCAGAGATGTTGCTCCTTCACCAGGGAGCAGGGGCGGCTCCAGGCACCAGCGCACCAAGCGCATGCCTGGGGCGGCAAGCCGCAGGGGGCAGCCTGCCGGCTGCTGTGAGGGTGGCAGTCAGGCTGCCTTTGGCGGCATGCCTGCGGGAGGTCCACGTGTCCCGCGGCTTTGGCGATAATTCTGCAGCGGGTATGCCGAAGCCGCGGGATCGGCGGACGTCCCGCAGGCATGCCGCCGAATCCGCATTACCAGCGGACCTCCCGCAGCCATGCTGCCGAAGGCTGCCTGACTGCTGTGCTTGGGGTGGCAAAATACATAGAGCCGCCCCTGCCAGGGAGGCCTCTCAGCTGAAGGCAGAATATTGAATGTTGGGTTCAGTCGTCTCCATTGGCTGCCCTTCTATATTGTAGCTGAGTCCCTGCAAGATTGCATGTGCTTTGAGATCCCCTTCTAGAGTGCACTGGGGAACTTTCTGGGCGTGCTTTCTTTTGTATGGACGTACCAAACAGTGTTCCAAATTGCTTTCTCTCCTACCCCACTTCCCCATCCCAGACTGTGACGTGCAGCTGTTTGGTCCCTGGGGTGAAATAGTGAATCCGGGACAGTTGCCGGACCCAAAACGACAAGTGGCATGTCGGACCTTTATCAACGTGGCTCCACGGTATCGCATAGCCATCCATGCCCTCTACATGGACCTGGGGACTGAAAACAACCAAACACACTCCAATTACATCTCGGTGAGACATCAGCCTGGGGCGGGGCACCTCTAGCTCACGCTTTTCCCCTCACAGGCCCTGAGAAGTTTGCTTCTACGTTCGAGGTTCAAAGTACATTGGAAATCATATAGAGCCAATTCTGATCTCAGTTACACCAGTGTAATGTGATGCGCTTCTCTGAGGCGTCCTGGCATAGCACAAACAATGCTCTTGCTTGAAAGAGGCAGACTGCTATGTGATTGTGATTCATTCCTTTCTTTGTTCAGATACGCGATGTGAATGCCATGAAGACAACAGTGTTTCGTGGGAAACAGCTGTTCTTCTGGGAATCGACGGGGAGCCAGGCTGAAATTGAATTTAATGAAGGCTTTACAGAAGATCGTGTCAGTTTCCGAGCAGAGTACTGGGTCAGAAAGCCCAGATAAATGGAAACAAGGGACACCCCAGCCAGGGAAGCAGTGGATCAATTAGAGTCAGGACTCCCTGCTCTGCCACTGATTCACCGTTTGACCTTGGGCAAGTCATTTAACCTCTCCGCCTCAGTTTCCCCTTCTGTTTAATTGGAATAACAATACCTGTCTACTTCACAGGGCTGCTCAGTTAATATTTGTAAAGCATGTGGAGATGCTCAAGTGAAAGGCATTATATAGCCGTCAAATATTATGATTCTCTTAAAAGTTTTTTCCGGTCTCTCCCAACTAGTAGTGAGACAACTTGCCGGTTTGAAACGAATGACTGTGATCTAATGTCACCTTGCTAGCAGGGTCTGGTCTGCTCACAGTGCCTCAGCCTCCACCGATGAAGATGTAGATTAGAGCAGTTAGTGAAAGTCAGCAGCTTAACGCTTCAGCATTTTTCCTTTTGGCCAATGATATGAATGTGTGTCGCGGACGGATAAACCATTCAGAATTGATGGACCTGATGCTCCTTTACGCTCTAGCAGTGTACAAGGACCCTGACATTTATAGCCACTTGACTATCAGAATGGTGGAAAGGGGCCTTATGCAGAAATGAGAATTGGGCACTACATGTCCTGCAGCAATAATAGTATTTCTCAATATTCAGGTAGAGAACTCGTCCTGCTAATTATCAGAGGGGTAGCCGTGTTAGTCTGAATCTGTAAAAAGCAACAGAGGGTCCTGTGGCACCTTTGGGACTAAC